TTACTATTATAATTATTACGACTATAACAGCAACTGTTATTTTAAGTCCCCAGATTTCTGGAGATTTCAGATAAACATTTCTCTAAGGTAAGTCTCTTCTCAAAAATGAGTCTGCTGTTCTGGAAGCTAACTATATAGACCCAATTCTTTTATTGTTGCCTTCATGTGAAGCTTATGAATCCTGAAGCTCAGATTCAAACCCTTCCCCATACAATTGGCAGTTCTGGAGCTTCAGTGATACTTTCACCAGTCATTGAAAAGGCAGCTCAAACCAATTTAACCATTATGCAGAAAAAGAATAAAGGTAAAGTCAATCATCAACATCAAATGATCTGTCTAGTGTAAAACAAGGGAACTTTCACAAGCCAAACACAGTGGAAGATCATTTGAGTCATGAAGTACACCAAATTTCACATATACTCTATCCCAACTGCATAGTTAGATAACTAATTAAGGTTTAGAGAAGCCAATAAAAAAATACTATTATATTACTATACAATGAAAGTATTAGATACAGTAAAAGACAGAAATCAAAAGTGCAAATGCGTTTGACTACAATTTGGGGAATTTCTGGAACCAGGACAGAAAATACATTATAATGAATAAGGAGAAACCCTGGAATGAAACCTGGTCAAAACAGACTTGTTGCATCAACTCGATTTGCTATATTTAAAGCAGACTCTGTTGATATACTAAATCATGTTTCCAAAATGAATTATTATATAACAAGTAATTTAGCCACTAAGATACAGTAACCTACTGAAGGAAGAAAATGGAAACCGAAGAGAGAAAAGCAGAGAATAAAGGAAGAGGAGCAAAATAACGCAGATACTCACAGGTTTATAGACACATCCCCTCCGAAAAAACAACTAATGACAGCAATAATCCATACAGAGTTAAAAAAAAAAGAAAAAAAAAATAGACATAATATCAAAGTAAAATAGCATGAGACATGATGGGGGGAAGTGTTAAAAGAAAGATTAAAAAATGCAGCAGATCACTTTTGACCTTTCAAATTAAGGGAAAAAAGGAAAGCAAAATAGAGTGCAACTCTAAAAGCTAGATCTGCACAGGAAGGGTGACAACAGTCAGTTCTTTGGAAGGGGGCTAAATTGCAAAGTACTGCTCTGAATCTAAATATATTAAATAGAAAAACATCTAGATACATTCTCCCTGTTTAACACTGCTCCTAAACTACATGAAACTAGATTTACATGATCACATTGGTCTGTCTTATTCAGAAGATTTAGAGGATTAGAAGTCTCATTAATATTAAGTTCCTGCAGATTTTACAAAAATAAATGCCTTGATAGAGTAAACAGACTCTGTTAAGCTCCCCCTACAAGAAGGGAGCAGTGCAAATCATCATCTTAACAGGCGCTAAGAAACTCAGGTTAGAGCTTAACCAGAAAACCAGTCTATAGGTAATAGGCTTCATTTCTTCCAGTATGCATGGTATTATTTACCTAAGATGCAAACAATTTTGGATTCATATTCAAGTTTAAGAAGTTAAAGCATGCATTCCTGGTATTTGTAGCACGTAGGCATTTGGTGATAGTGCAAGATGAGTATTCTTGCTCTCTTCGGTATTCTATGGGGATTAAGCTCAATTCCGAGAATGAATTGGGTTGCTTCTGCTGAAACTAGTAGGAAATGTCCCCTCTTATGGCCTACGTAAAGTTGACACACACACACACACCCCTAACTTGCAATAGGCACGGTGACTACATAAAGTAGAAAGAGAATTTTTTTCACATCCCTTTTCAGTTGCATTCCCTGCCAATTACTGTGTCTCCTACGCTCTACGTCACACCCAGTCTGCAATACCCATGAAAAGCCAATTCAGTACAATTTCCACAATACTGCCAAGTACACCCACATTAGAATTATCTTTATGTCATTTCTACATGTGATGCAGCACAGTTACCTCAGAGTTACCCCAGACTCAATTTGGTTAAATTTGATCCCTATGCAGTGAAAAGTCTGAACTTCTGAAGGGAAGGAATTGTGAAAGATCTCCTCACCTTTTTTGCAAAGTAATAATGTGGCACCTCTATGCCCAGAAGAACCTGGTAGGATGAAGGCAATGGAAAGCTGTCCTGAAGCAAAAGGCCATGCTCTTCAGTACTGAAAAATGATATAATGCAAACATCCATCTGGAAAAGGAAGCAAAGCATTGTTTTGGTTTTATGCTGCAATATCCTTCTTTCATTTTGTTTTTATTTTCCATATTGACTTGGCAGAACGTTCTCTTGAAAATAATATGACATATACATTCACACGCACACACCTGCTGGAGAGGGCAGAGCTGCACGCTTCCTCCCTGTAGTGAGTAGCCAACGACTCATTGTACATTACAGACTGTGTTCCTACTGCAAAGGGACCTCCACCTCTGCCTTTCAGGAACCAACTTCACCGACCATAAAGAGGAAGTCCCTGGCCACAGATTGCTGCTCTAGAAGTCTCTCTAACAGATCTGACTCAGGTCAAAGAAATACTCCCAACTGTTTTCAACAATTTTTTTTTTTTTTTACTATATTATTTCTATTATCATTTCAGCAGTTCACTGACTACTTTTAGCTCCCAGGGAACATACCAGGCATTTAAAAATAGTTTCTGCAACAGCTTAAATATTGGCCTGACTGAAGTCAAAATGAAGCATTTATTTCCAACTAAAGTTAATCAGATTTCTCATTTCTTAATGGATAAGCACACAGTTAAAAGTTCTGTTGAACAAGGGCCAAAAAGTAAGTTGCGCTCCTTTTTATTTTATCTTTTATCTTTTTCTTTTTCAACTTTATGTAGAAGCCAAACATTTTTACTTACATTAGGTTACATTAGGAATATTAGGTTGAAGTGTTCTTTTCTTTGCTAGAAGACCCTGGGAAGGCCTTTTGAGACATCCCTGTTCCATTCCTCCTTTCTACATTGATCTTCCCATGATTTTTCTAAGGCCATTTCAACCAACAAAAGAAACAAAGAGCTTTCTATCT